TATTTGTTTCCAATTTTTCTTTAATGTATTTGAAATTATATATTTTCTTCTAATTACTTTCTGGGTCCTACAGTTTTTAAATGAATTTTCTAACTGTAACTCATCTGAGTATTTCCAAATTTCTCTCATAATTTTCTCTTCAACTCAAAATTTATTATTACATGCTCTTTTGCTTTAATATTCAGAAATAAAAAATATTAGCTTTCTTTCTCTTTTTTATTTCTACTGTCAATGGATATGATCAATGAGAACAGAAAATAAGTGGATAATGGGATAATGTGGATACTGTGCCCTTAAAATGTAGCTACTGTGAACTGAAAAGTGCTATAAATATAAAATAATGGGGGAGGGAAAGAGAGTGAATTTGGTTAAGAGATCCTAGGAGACCCTAAGAGCTTCATGGTAATACATGTATTACTAACGCAAAAGTGGATCAAACAGGCTCAATGGGACAACAACAAAATATCTAGCAATCTTAATATCATAGTCTCAGAAGTTTAAGAAAAAGAAAGTGGGATCAAAAAAATATTTATATAAATGATGGTAGATACTTTCCCAAATTTGATAAAAGATACAAACTTACATATTCAAGATGAACAAATCCCAAATAAAACAAACAAATAAAGCTGTCCTAAGATACATCATAATTAAAATGCTACAAAGGAGAAAAATGAAAATATCTGAAGGAAATATGAAGAGAATTATAACATTATTTATACAGTAATGGCGAACCTTTAGAGACCAATGCCAAACTGCATTCAAACCCCATTTACTTATTGCAAAGTGCCAACACTGAAATAAGGCTGAATACGAAGGTTTTAGTTTAGAAAAAACAATTCTACAGTAATATCTTTTGTCTTAAAAGAAAAACACAATAACACATGTGCCTTTGATTCACCATCACTGATGTACAGGATAACTCCAGTTTGAATGACAGCATGTTGTCTCTTGGAGGCAAAAAAGGAATTGTAATTCAATAGTAAAGCACCGGCCTAGCCTCATTCACAAAGCCCTGAATTCCATCCCCATCATCAACCACACACACGAAAAAGGAAATGGAATATTTTTCAAATGCTGTCAACTCGAAAGAACTGTCAATCATAACTTCCATATCCAATGAAACTAACGTTCAGGAATGGAGAGAAAATCCATATATTCTCAGATTTTTTTTTTTTTTGTCTTTTTTGTTTTTATCGGTACCAGGGATCGAACTCACGACTGCCTGCTTGCAAGGCAAGCGCTTATGCCGCTGAGCTAAATCCCCAGCCCCCATATATTCTCAGATTAATGGAAGCTAAAATAATTTGTCTATACTAGACTTACCTTTAAAGAAGAGTTAAAATTATTTAGATAAAAATAAAATGATAAAAAAGAAAAAGACAAAAAAAATATTAGGGGCTGGGGATTTAGCTCAGTGGCATAAGCGTCTGCCTTGCAAGTGTGTGGTGGTGAGTTCGATCCCTGGTACCGATAAAAAAGAAAAAGACAAAAAATAAATAAATAATAAAATGATAGATGAGAGAATCACAGAGCACCAGGGAAAAAAATAACAATAGATATTATACAACTATGTACAAAACCTAATGAGTTTTACAAATATATAAAGTCTATCCTTTTCCAGTATGATGTTTTTATCTTGAATTTAATTTTATTCATAGTAACATTTTTATCTGACTTTGCTTTTGGTTTGTATTTGCCTCATATACTTTTGTTATCACTTTGTTTTTAACCTTTTTGTATTTTATGGCTTCAATTGTGTGTTTCCTAAAGAACATATTCCCATATCTTGAATTGTTTTTAATCTATTTTTACCTCAAATTGAGATTCTCTCTGTTGATAGGTGAATTGGCCCATTTATAATTATTGTGATAAATAATAAGACATCTTTTTTTTCTGTATTTTCTATTGACCAAACTTGCTTTTTTGTTTTGTGTCTGGGTTTCTATAAAACACTCAGGTCTTTTCTTCTGGTTTGAACATTATGCATTCTGTTGCTTAAACATAATAACATCTATGTACATGCTTTCCCCAGCTCTTCAATCCTTTTTCTGAGTTTTTAAATGTTTCCCCTGATAAAGACAAGTAACTGAGCTCCTCTCATTTTTTCATTTCTACTTCCCACATTGACCTTCAGTTACATAATCTAAAATTCTAGTGTTAAATTGCTATCTATGTAATAATAGTTATCTTGTCTAATTCTCCTCTTTGTTCATTATAAGATAATAAATCACTTAACAAATTATTATTAACCTATCTTAGAGTGTCTTCCTGAAATATTTTCTTCTTGCTAAAATACTTCTTTCAATGTCTTTTATGCATAATTTTGCCTAATTTGCATGATATGTAAATTAAAAATTACATATTCAAAAATTCTCTTCTAATAGTGCAGCTATTAACAAATCAGATTTGCTTATTCATTTATTACTTTCTAAGAGGCCACAAAATACTAGGTACTGATTTGGCTTTGTTATGTTTGGTTTGGTTTTGCCTTGTTTGGTTCCTTGCTGGGGATCGATCCAGGGCCTCAAGTATACCAGACAAATGCACCACCTCTAAGCCACACTCCCAGATTTTGTGCTTTATCTCTGGAGTTTTATAAGTTATTTTTTACTATTCATATTGTTAGATTTCACTATGATATGTGATGTCTCTTCATAATTTTCTTGTTTGATTTTCAATGATTTTTTTAAGACAGGATCTTGCTCTGTAGTTTAAGCTTGTCTGAAATTCAGGGCAATCCTCCTGCCTCAGCTGCCTACGTGCTGGAATTACAAACATGTACCATCACAACCAGCTCAATGAACATTTTTAATATAAAGTCTTTGACATTTTCTTATTTGTCCATTATTCTTGCTTATTATTTTTTAAAGTATTTTCTTACTGTTTTCTTTTTTCATTCCTTTTAGGGCTCCAATCATAAAACCTATTCACTCTCCATATCACTAGCACTTCTTCAACATTTTTCAATTTTTTATTCTTTTCTGTTCTTATTGAAGAGCAAATTTTCTTGACCTGATATTCTAGCTCTGGAATTCACATCCATTTTTCACATTCTACTATTCAATCCAGTTTTAGAATACTTTATTTAAGCCATTATATATTTCCCAAAAATTTTGTTTTTATGACAAATTCTTGATTGGTATTTTGTATATTCTCTCCTTTATTATTTTAGATATATATGTATAAATGTATGTAGTTAGGTAGCATGGCTCATTAATTCTGGCCCATCTGTTAGTTAGTTTTTCTTTTACAAAAGTAAATATCCTTAAATATTTTGTTTTTTCCCCATGAGTTAATATGCCGCAGGCTCAGTTTATAAGCTAGTAACATAAGGAAAGAAGAAAACCAGAACCCTGAGATATTTCCCATACCTCCTCCAACTCACTAGGAAAAGTTACTAATGCTCAAAAAGAAATTGCACAAGTGTGCTACACAAGGGTGTTACACCAGGCAGCACAGACACTGGGTTACATGTCCATTTTTGTAAGAACTGAAAATCACTGTTCCCTGAAGTTTTTAAAAGGTACTGAAGTATTTTAAGCAGTAAAGTGATATCACTTTCTTGCTTTAAAATGATCACTGGCCAGAAAGTCTGGAGAATAGGTCAGTGGGACTGAACACTGGAGTTATGGAACAGTTAGAAGACAGATCATAAACTTAGTGAAATGGTGGTGATTTGAACTAAAGTAAGTGGAAAGGCAGAAAGATGGACAATTGGAGTTATTTTTAAAATATAGTACATAGGCCTGGTAATAGAGAACGAAAGAAGAGTTGAAAATATTGTTTTGGTTTATATAAATTGATGCGTTGACAGTAACATTCTCTGAGGAGATTAGACATGAGTTTGAGGTGGGAGGATTAGTCCCTAAACAGAATTGAACAATTAATCACTACTGAGACTACATAGATTTTTTGCCTGCAAAGAACCTATTGTTCAAAGCTGTAGAAACCGGTTCCATCTTTTCAACTGTGGTCATTGAAAGGGGTCTGAAGAAGGTCCCTCAAAGATGGACACGTCAACTTATTCCTCTCTTGCAGAAGTTGTAGTTTTGCTGACTTGTATCACAGGAAGGAATTTTAGGACACATTATTGAAAGATTTATTAGAAAAATTAAAAATGTGTATACACATACACACAAAATGCAATTGCTCAAGGGGGAGGTGCATTATGGTCTTGGCCTGGAAATATTTGCATTCTTAAGGGTGTCTTCAAAACCGATGATTTAGACTGTTTCCGTAGTGTTTTATCAGGTTACTTATTAGCGGACTCGATTGTAATGAAAACCATCTGCATGTGTTTGAAGTTTAGAGATAATACATAATAATAACGTATCTTTGAGAGTGGATGTATGTATAATTTTCAGGCACAACTTACATGTGAAAAACATAGGCCCAACTGTATTTTGAATAGTCCTAGGATTTTTGTTTTGTTTTGAGTGCTTTTTCTTAAAAGCGGAAAAAGGCACTATAGTGTTGGGTAACTTTGTGTCTTGAAGTTGTAGTTTTCTCGAAGGTGCAGTTTTAAAATTTCAGTTTTCCTTGTTTCTCCTCTCCCACTTTAATCTCCCAAAATTTTTAGGACTGCAAGTTGTCCGTGGATTAATGGACACAGGAGTCAGTATGCAACCAAAAATCTGCTGTTAAAAAAAAAAAAAAAAACTGCATAGTGTTTAAAGGCAAAGCATGAGTTTCAGAAGTATAAAACGTGACAACAGAGTAGGTTGGATTCAGCAGCCCTGATTAGGTGTGTAGATAGAGTCAGAAAAGCCAGGACCCAAACCTGCGCCTCCAGTGTTTTTACCGTACCTCCCACAGTGGGCACACAGGGAACACAGCGTTTTACACCCTCGCGAGAGGAAACGAGCTGCCCGTCTTCAGCTTCTGTCTATAGAGCGCTATTCACGATACCACCTGCTGAGAAAAGTAGTATGAAAGCGAAGGGGCTTCTGGGAATTGTAGTTCCGGGCAGAAAGCGGCCAGTGGGCCTTGTTCCTCACAGTGGCTTATCACGCATGCGCAACCCCGAGCTGGCCCAAGAAGTTCGTAGCCTTTGTTAGGGCCGGGAGGGGAGGAGAGTTGGTTGGCGGGGTGTTGCGCCTCGCAGCTCCACCGCGGAGGTCGCCTCCGGGCTCGTCCTGTGCAGAAAATGGGCTGGAGTGTACGGACGTGAAAGGGCCCTGGCCGGCAAGCCTGGAGCCGAATACAGTCACGTTCTGGCTGGAATCCCTCCCCCGAGACCAGTTGAGAGCGGTGCTGGTGGGCGCGCTGCGGGCCAGGCGGGCGCAACGGAGCGGGGGATCCCGCGCGAGCGACCCGAGTGCAGCTGGAGTCGTCTGTGCACGTTTTGCCTTGACTGCAGCCCCAACACCATCTCTTCAGACAATCGTTACCGCCTCTCCCCTCTCCCGGGACAGCTCCGAGCAGGAGGGACCGTTTCAGGGATGCTGTCCCCGGGTTTGCAGGCTGCAGCTCCGTGAGACCGAGGCGGCTCCGCGGTGAGGAAGAAACCCGATCCCATCTGACCAGACCTGTGCAGAGACCCCCGAGGGGCGAAGGAAAGGGGCATCCTGCCTGCTGGGACTTCTCGCTACTTTGCACAGAGAGGTCTGGATTTGAGTGAAGAGCAGCATCTTCGAGACATGGAGGAGGTGGTGATCATGGAGTCAGATTTGGTTCAGATGCCTGAGAAAAGAGGTAGAATTGCTCAAGTGTTGGAACCTGTGGCGTAGCAGGGTGGGATTCTTCCCCCAAAGGGAAAATGGTTGCCTAGGGTCAGATGGCTTGTTAGAGAGGTGCTGTTTGTCTCCACCCACAGTCTTGGGATGGATGGATGCTGTCTGAGTGAGTGTGGAAGAGTTGGCTTGGGGACACACACACACACAGAGACACACTCCAGCATGGTGCATAGTAGAGCTTTCAAAACGTCCCCAAACGTGAGCCAAATGTTAAGTTTCTGAGCTGAGTATAGCCATAGCGACTTTTTTCACGTTTTCTTCCTTCCAAATGATTATCCCATCCTACTTCCCTATCCATCACAGTGGGACGAATTAACGATTGTGGCTGACAAAAATATTTCCACACACCTGTTATCCCACTTTGTGTAATTTTCATATGATTTCAGTACAGTACGTTTTTTGTTTAATGTACAGAGAAGACAGGCACTTCCGGTGCTGGGTGACCAATGTTTTTTAAACTTTGGTCAATGGTTTTATGCATCAGAATGCCTCCTGGGCTTATTAGATTTCTATATTGCACCCCAGATTCTACCAATGATGATTACTGTCAAGTAAGATCTAGCAATTAACATTTTAAGTGGACTTTCATAATAATTTTGAGAACCATTACACCTACTTCTGTACTATTTTTGTAGGTTAAGCTGGGAAATTATTCTAATTTCTAGATCAGAGAGTGTCGTCTTCCAGAACATGTTGATTGTAGCAACTGAATGTAAGTCCCAAGTACAATTTCCACCATCTGGGAGGTGATAGGTATTTGGGGCTCCCTTCAGTCTCAGTGTTAGGAGGGAGCCCATTTGGAGGGACTGTTAGACTTGGAAGTGTGAGTAGCTGGATAAATGTAGTCTGCATCATTATTGCTTTCTTGCCCTTTGCTCTTTCTTCCCAAGAGGAGAACACAGAGGAGAAAGAAGAGGCAGCTCTGCGTCTCACGGCGAGATCCCAGGTGAGTGTACCTGCTGATGACTGAAATCCAGTTAACTGAGTTCATGTCTCAAGATGCCAAAGAATGGACTCAAGGATGTGGGAGATGAGTAGAAAGAAAGTTCATTGGAGGAAAGTTCCTGAAAGCAAGAGGGGACTTGAAAGTGTGTTGCCATGGGACTCTGTCTAATTGTGTACACCAAAATGACTATGTCTTAGACCATTGTGGGCCAAGCTGAGGTCAATCAATTGGGTTACAAGGAAGAGACTTTGACTAGAATTACGCCTGTAGAAACTCAAGGCAAAAAAAGCTGGCATGTATGTATCACCTTGATTTGACCACTTTCCTGGGCCAGAAGATCCCACCAATTTAACAGGGGACCCTTGTTTATCAGACCTGGGAAGCCCTTGGCCTTGGCCATTGTGTCTCCATTTTGGTGCCTGCTCTTTTGTCTCAGGCTTTATCTTGCCTTCTGCTGACTTCCTCTCGGGACTAGCTTTTCCCTAGTTGCATGACCCACCGCCTGTGGTACAGGTTCAAACAAATGCTAGAAAAAACCTAAAGGCTTAAAATTTTAGAATTCAGTCCTGGGTGTGTGAATACTGACATGATATGCCTATAACTTACTTGTATATTATTGTCCTACCTCTGAAAGAGTAAGTATGGCAAATATTAAGATTTGTTGGATTTAGATGGTGGTTGAAATATGGGAAGTCATTGTTTGACCTTTATATATGTGATACTGTTAAATCTGCTAAACCATTGGTATGGTTTGAATCTTCTATGAGAATTTTAAAAATCTGTCTTTTATGCATTACTTTAGACCTTATTTGATGCTAACTTTTCAACTTTATTAGTAATTTGGCTATTTTTTATGTCTTACTATATGTTTTTTTAAATATGGCTTTGATTCTCACTGACTTGGCAGGAAAAATGGGCACAGAATATAAAGATAATATTACTTCCCTTCCCAAATTCATTTCCTCATCTCTCCCAAGCAATGGTAACAGGCTGATACATGTTTTTCCATATTTGTGTTGAGTCTGCAGTATTATATTCAGGCTTGTGACATATTGCCCATTACACTGCCAACCTTGGAATAATACTTTGTTTCGGGTAATATGTTCTCTAGGCTTTTTTAAAAACCATTTTTAAAGGAGATAATGCTCATTCACATCTGGCATGTATATTTCAATTTTTTATTGCTGTGATATGTATAATCCTGTTTCCTATGTATTCTTTATCTTTTTGTGCAGTGGTTTACATATTTGTTGGAATTTTTTTCCTATTGTTTGGCAGTTAATTTCCACTGAGTGTTGATTTAGGTATTCTAAGGTCAAGGTCATTTTTTTCTCATGTCTTTTATATTTAATGGCTACTTAATGGTTTTACATTTTATTTTATTTTTAAATGATGATTCTTTTATTTCTTAAAGCTCACATTATTTCCATTATGTAAAGTTTGCTTTAAAAAATTATTAAACTCAAAAAATATTAAAAGTAATGGAGGTATCTTTCATACTGTTTATCCAGCTTCTCAACAAGTTAATGTTTTACTTTGTTATTACTGGTTTTTCAAAATTAGGCATTAACACTGGTATAAAAATGTAATCCCAGCTGTTTTCAAACTTTGTTTTCCTTTATTTTTGTTCAACTTGACTTGTTTGTTCTGCACATTTACTTACATAATTTTTTTGATGAAAATGTTTAAAACTATGACATTTCCTTGTAAGTATAGTGTTAGTTATTAGACATTGTGTTTCAGATTTTTTTCATAATTATTTTTATATCTGACATGGTTTTTCAGTTATCGATCATTATTCTGTTCTATTTCTATTTGGGAATTTACTGAAATTTACTTTGTTTTTATAAATACGTCATGAATGTTTATCTATCTATCCAGTTATAGCACTTAGCAACCTGGGAATTTTTACGTCCATTCCTCATGGAATTACTTACAGGGACATATTCAGTACTGATATGTTTCTATGAATGTACAGCTTTTATATTTTTGATCTTATGACAGTGATACAATATGTCAGATTTTAAGTTATAAATGATCTTAGAAATTATAATCTCAATATTTTACATATAAACATTTTTTAATGAAATCTGTAACCTTAATTAGTTTGTTGCAATCATTTTCCAATTTAACACATTTTAACTTGAATTAATTCCATGTTAACTGGATTTGGTACTCAATTTTTTACTCAATAATTTCTCCATTTGCAAGTTGTTTATTGTAGTTCATCTTCTGAAAGTTACATTGATTCTTCAAGTATTTAATAGGACTCACAGGAGAATTGCCCGTGTTTTTATTTTTGTCTACCTATATTTAGCTTACTTTGCCAAATTATACTGTTGGCTCATTGGTTTATATTTTAATACTTTATTTCCCCCTGAAAAATTGTCATCTTTCAGTGGAGCCACTGTTAACTTACTTCACTTAATTCTCATGTTGAGTCTGACACAGTATACTTTGGCTTACAATTAATACTCAGTGACTTTACATAGAATACTCAGAATTTGACAACTGTTAGAATATTTACCATTTCTCTGTTGAGTGTATCTCAGACCTTTGCTCCAGTTTAAGCATAATGGTGAGTAAAAGGGAGCCTATCAAGTGAAGCAGAGTAAACAAATATGTTTTGTCTTAGGAAACAATGACATTGAAGGACGTGGCCATGGACTTCACGCCAGAGGAGTGGGGGAAGCTGGATCCAGCACAAAGGGATGTGATGCTGGAGAACTATAGGAACCTAGTCTCACTTTGTAAGAACGTATGATTGCAACGCTTAAGTATCATTTCGCCATTGAAAATGAAGTAGCTTAACACGTTTTCAGTTTTACATTCAGAATGTGTTATTTAATTTTAATCACTTAGCTTGACTTTGTATGAGCTTTCTTCTTTTTCTTCTTCTTCTTCTTCTTCTTCTTCTTCTTCTTCTTCTTCTTCTTCTCTCTTCTCTCTTCTCTCTTTCTCCTCTTCCTCCTTTTTTTTTTCTTTGAGGCAGGGTCTTGCCAAGTTGCTGAGGCTAGCCTGAACTTGCAATTCTCCTGCCTCAGATTGGTAGTTACATTAGTCTTTCAGTTAGAAAGCTAAGCAAAAAGAATGATTCTGTCCTGGGAGTTGCACAAATAGGGTCAGATGCTTATCAGAAATAATCATCGAGCCATAGACAGAGCGTATTCTCTGGGCTATTCTGGATCTTGTGTTCACCACTATATGTGTGCAGACACATATATGTGTATTTGTAGAGGGGTGTAGGGGGCTGTGTTAGCACTTCCCAAATCACATGGAATGAATCTCTCAAGAAAGTGATTTCCAGTAACTGAAAAAGGAAGAGAAATTTTTAGAAAACAGAAACTGTAGTTGCCATGGTCACTATCTTGTGATCCAACTGAGGTCCAGTTTTTTTTTTCCATCATTCATAACGTAAGTACTAAAATTCAAAGTTACGCAAAAATTTCTACACATGTTAAGAAAATTAAGAGACATTCTCTTCTTTGACAGACAACAGCATTTGTCTTTACAAATGCAGTTTAACTCTGTATCAGGCTTAGCTCCTGCTGCATATATTTAAAGATCCATCTTCCCCAGATCCTCCTGTAATGTCTTGTCTTTGTAAATTGACAGACTTGTCTTTGTAAATTATCTTCCAGGGTAGATCTTTGGGACCATTTTAAATAGCTAAGTTCCATTTCTCTTTACTTTCTTTCTTTTCTTCCAAATAAACAGGGCTTCCAGTTTCCAAACCTGAAAACTACAGTTTGGACAATGGGAAGGAACCTTTGAGGTTTGAGAGAAAAGCCCCTAAACGCAGTTACTCGGGTGAGTCAGGGAATCATCTTCAGAAATGTGCAACAGGAGAGTGATTGTCCCTTTTGAGTTCTAATAAAGAATATAAGAAATGCTTATGTGCCATTGCTTTAAAATGCTTTATTTTAAATTTTTTTTCCCAAAGGGCAGGGATTTTTATTGTTAATTTTTGTTTTTAAAAAGAAAAAATGATACAGAATTTCAAAACAAGATAATAGATAATGGTTAATACATTCATATTGTTATCTTGGAAGTAGTTACTCATATTACAAGAGATAGGCATGAAAAATTGATCAAACAATATAATCACCTTTCTTTTTGATGAATATTTTAAATTTTAAAACATTTTAGATACATAAAGAAATCCAGAAATAAAATAGTATGTATTCATCACCAAGATTAAAGTTTTGCTAATACTTTACTTTGTGTCTCTTCTTTTTTTGCAGTGTATAATATACATAAAAGCATCACAACTATACAATTCTGTGAACTTTAACTAGTAAAACACATTCGTGTAATTAGTACCCAGATCAAGAAAACAACTTTGCCTGCACTTCTAGGAGCATTCTAATACCCTGTCTCCATCACCTCCCTCCACCACCTCCCTCCATCACCTTATCCTAACTTACAACACCGTAGTTTAATTTTGGACTGTTGTTGAATGATATGGCATATATTCTTTTTTTTTTTTTTTTTTTTTTTTGTCTTTTTCGTTTTTATCGGTACCAGGGATCGAACTCACGACTGTCTGCTTGCAAGGCAGGCACTTATGCCGCTGAGCTAAATCCCCAGCCCCATGGCATATATTCTTGTGTCTGGCTTCCTTCTCTGAACATTAGCGGTAAGATATATACAATATGGTGTATTATAGTTCACTGTCATACAGTCTTTCCTTACATTAGTATTCAAGTTCATTTAGCATAGTTTACCTGTTCTCTTAAACATAGGCAATTGGATAGTCTTCAGTTTTTGTTTATGTGAACAATGCTATTGTGTGTCCTCTTTTTTTTTTTTTTTTTTTTTTTTTCCTAGCTTTTTTCTGGTACCGAGGATGGAACTCACAACCTCGCGCTTGCCAGGCAGGCACTTATGCTGGTGAATTAAATCCTCAGCCCCTATTGTGTGTGTTCTTATGACTTGTCTTTTCATGAACTCATATATGAAATTCTGTTGTGTATATACATGCAGGTACAGTTGTTGTGAGCCATAGGTTAGGTGCTTGTTGATTGTTGGTAGAAATTGCTAAAGAGATTTTCAAGGTTGGCATATCAGTTATGTTACTACCAGCAGAGGAGGAGAGTTCTAGTTGTTCACATGCTTATCAACACTTAATATTACCTGATTTCATTTTACCATTCCTTTGGGTTTGTGACACATTTACTTTTTAAGGAAGAAAAAATATTAGAGATTTAAAGTCCTTTCATTCTAAGTAAGCACTATAAGTATCTCAAAGATGATATGAATCAGGGCTGGGGATTTAGCTCAGAGGCATAAGCGCCTGCCTTGCAAGCGCATAGTTGTGAGTTCGATCCCTGGTACGGATAAAAAAAAAAAAAGATGATATGAATCATTCTGTTTGCATGTGTATATATGTCTACAAACATACACATATGTACATAAACTAATATATATCATAAACACATGTACAAATAATATGTATGTTTTACTAAGCTTTTAAATCTGATTTTTAAAATTTAACATTGTATTTTATTAATCTATATTAATTTATAATGATGTGTTTATTTTAGCTACTCTGCAGTAGGTCCACTGTGTGAATAAACTGTACCCTTTTTTTTGCCTTTGGTGATAGAGTTGTAGTGATCATCTCTGCATTGACTAATGCTCATTTTGAGAATTAGGATTAATTAAGATAGATATCCAGAGAAGGATTAACTCACTCCTGAAGTATTACATATTAATTTTACTAGAAATTATCAAGGTCCTACCACCTGTCCTAGCTCATATTTGATGTTTTTAGGTTTTTTAATTTTGTAAATCTGGTGGATGTGAAGTGCTGTTTCATGCTTTTAAATTTGCATTTATCTGAATAGTGAGTTTGAGTATTTATGATGACTTGCTCTTTAGATTTTCTCTTTGTGAACTATCAATCGATGGTCTTTGAACAGTTTTAAAAATTGGTCTATTCACACCTTTTTCTTGATTTTGTGGATGTATTCATACATTTTAAATTTTATTACATGACAGGCAGCATTACAGATCATTGAGAAAAAGTTTCTTCTGATATTATTTTGATTTTATAATGTCTTGAATTTTTAAATTTTAATGTCAGATTCATTGAATTTTTTACATATTTCCTTTTTGTTAATCTATATCTCAGTTTCACAAACATATCCTATTTTTTATTTGCAAATGTTCAAATTTTGCATTATATGTATTTTTGCATGTTGTGAAATAACAAACTAATTTTATCTTTCCATCTTTACAGTCTATAATCAAGTATTATCTATTAACCAATCTTTTATCACTGATTTGTAATGTTATCTGTGTAGTAGATCCAATTCCCCTATGTATGTAGATGTGTTTCTGTTCACTCTGGTTTACTTGTTTATCTGTGCTCTAATACCATACTGTTTTAATTACTATAATTAACGTTGTGTGTGTGTGTGTGTGTGTGTGTGTGTTTATAAATTATTTCTGAATGTTCTTTACAAAATTTTTTCCATTTGAAATTCCTCTTGCTTTAAAATCTTTCCCTGTGATCATAGGTACGTCTGTTCCTCCTTGTAGACCTGTCAGTGATTTGCCTACTGGACACTCTTCTTTTTTTAGAGTATTGGAATTTGTTGTTTTGTTTTGTTTTGGATATTGCTGTTTTCTTAGTGATTTATAAGAGCTCTGGAGGTATTTACCCTTCGTTACGTTACAGATTTTCTTTTAGATTTTTACCTTTCAGTTTTACTATACTTTTTGGTGTACAAAATTAATGTTATACTCTTTTATTTTCTACCTTTTAAGTAACATTTAAGAGCCTTCCTCATTGCAAGATTATATAAATATTTGTTCCTACTTTCTAATATATTTGTCCTTTCATTTTTCCTTTAAGTCACTCACGTATTTGAAATTGCCTCTTGTTTTTGGATGTATCTTGTTAGCTTTCTTTGATGAGTAATTGCATTTTTACTTGATCAAGATTTGATTTTAAATTGGGCCTAATTATGCATAGCTGAAATCCCAGCACTCTGGAAAACAGGTGAAGGAGAATCAAAAGTTCAATTTCCCAAGCGCTTGCTTGACAAGCACAAGGTTGTGAGTTAGATCCCCAATACCTAAAAAAAAACACAGTTCAATCTGAGGCTGGCCAGCTTAGTGACATCCTGTTTCAAAATAAAAAATTTTAAAAAGGCTAGGATGTAGCTCAGTGCAAAAACCTTGGCTCAATCCCACTACAATGTAAAATCTGAAACTATAACCATAAATATTCATACTCTACTACATTAACATCTGTATTGATCATTTGGAAAGTACTGATTCACTAAGTTAAGCAGATATTCTAAAACTTGATCCTTTGCATTGTATAGTATTTTTTTAAATTACAACTTTTAATGACAATACTGACTTTAGGAAAGTCTTCACATTTTAGAAACCTGTCAAGTTTTCTCTGTAGTTAATTTTCTAGAACTCGTCATTTCTGTCTGAAAGCTCGGATTTTATCAAACACTATAATTTGTTTTCCTTGAAATGACAGATTCACCTTATTCATTCTTGAGAAACCATGTGCCAGATTCTCAACTTGGATAACACAGTCTGTCACTTTTCCAAGTAAAAATCACGGTCCCTAAGAAAAGTAGTTTAGCTCACAGTTCAATTACACAAGTGTTTTTCCTTACAACAGTCATTACACACTCTGGTAAAACCTCTTGCTTTATGAATATTTCTTATTTTACCAACCCAAAATTTTCAAAAGGTATGTACTCAAGGATTGAAACTCAGTGAACTAATAATGTTTATTGCTACCGTAGACATTTTAAAAGGAAACTGATTATAATGTTTATTGCTTCCGTAGACATTTTAAAAGGACACTGATTCTGTATATCTATAGATATAGATATACACAAGTGTATAAATTAATATATTTATATATACAAGGTAGAAAACAGTATAATTACTAATAAGTTCGATGTTACTGTTTTCATTCTTATTAAGTTGTAAGCAATTTACCACCACTACTTCTGCAATATCAGTGTAAATATGAAGACATTATAAAAGATAAATACCGTGTAAGTATTATTTTGAAGTTAGTGTTATAGCCTTCCATGGGTCCACAGACTGCTGCTTTGAGATCTCGGTTTCTACTTATCTATGTTGATTTATATTTTACTTAACGAACCTTTAGAAAGCACTTATGCAGTGTCAGTGTTTAGTGGCATGATAAATACTCTAATGCTAATTAAAGTCAATATTATTATTATTCTTCATGAAGTAGATACTGTTATTACTGTTATGCATAAGGAAAGTGAAAGAGATATTGAATTATTTGCCCAAGGTCACATAGCTAGTAAATGGCAGAGTGGGAACTCAAATTCATGTGTTCTGACTTCAGAGTCCATAATCTCATTCACCATGCTTCTCCTGAATGTCCTTCTTACCTTGGGGTTTGTGTACATATTATTCCATCCGTCCGGAATACTCGTGTCAGTGCTTTTGTGCACTAGAACACTAGTACATGCAGAACACTCACCTTAATCCCAGCTCACCTTCCATTCTGCAGAGCGATTTACTTTTTCAAGGAAAACTCTCCCTTCTATTTCCCTCTCTTGTTTTCTCGTAACATCATTTGCCTTTTATTTCTTAATGGTTTCAGTATGTCAGTGTTAAATTCTCTCTCCTTCTGTCTGCATAGGGATTGTGTTTGTTTAGTCCCAGAAACTAGCATAAAGCCTAGATACTTGCTGAATAAAAGAGATACATATGTGAATGCAGATTAATGAATAGAATTTATTTGTGTTTATGGAATGAGAGATCTAACTTATCTTCTTTTAAATGTTTAGTTGTCATGGCAACATTTTGTTAGAAACCAGCTCTTCATTCAGTGACTAAAATGATTTTCCTATTTTTATGTGTACTATAAGAATGTAGTTTTATTTCTGAATTTCCTCTTCTACTTCACTGATGTATTTATTCTCTTGAACTGTTGTTTAAATTGTTTCATCTTTGTAAAATAGTTTTATATTTGATACAAAATTGTAATGTTTACATTACACATATTTAAAGAGACTTAGCTTCTATTTTTGCCCTGTCCTTTTCTGACATTTCCCTGTAAATGATCCTTTTTATTAGTTTTTCATTATACCTTGCATTTAAAAAAGTACTAAATATATCCTAGAGATCATAGCAATATACGGAGATTATTTCTATTTTGAAAAAGCTACATACGATCCAATTTGTTGTATATATTATAGTTCATTCAGTCTTTTTTTTTTTCTCTGTGTTAGGTATTTGGAATGTTGCTAGTCTTTGGAGGTCTTAATTGATATTATAGTGAATATCCTTTGCATGTATCATTTCATATATTTGTGTTATGCCTTGGGTAGACCATAGGAGATTTTTAATAGAAATATTATAAAACTATTGTTAGGAAGATTACACTGGCAATAGATTTATAGCTAATCATGAGCACAATTAAAAGACTGTAAACTTAGGAATCATAACTATTCTACAGTAAGATGCTAACTGCCTTAATATTTACTATAGTAGGTATTCCATAAAAAAGTATTTTCTCTTATCCTGATCTAGTATACATATTGTCTCTCATATATTGATATATTGCTTTATCAATATCCCTCTTTCTCCTACATTTCTGGTCATCTTTTCCCTCTTCTGACATTGCTGCATAGTTTATACTCATGTTCTCTGCATATACTATTTGTTTTCTCCATTTGCTTCTTTTTTGGAAATAATCTAGTAAGAATCAGACCCATGTATTCCTTGAAAGAATGCTTTTCACCTTCATTAATTCTCACCTATTACAGAACTACGTTTTTGTTGAGCACAGAAAAATGAAGGAAATTCACATTTCCAATGTTTTTCAGACATGGAAACTATACCTGAGAGCAAAGATTCAATTTCAGTGCAAGAATTTTCCAAAGAGTCACATCAGGATGTAATAATGGACAGACTAACAAGAAATAACGTCTATGACTCCACCTTGGAAACAGCACTTGAATGTGAAAATTGGTTAGAAAATCAGCAAGGAAGTCAGCAGAGACATTTGAGAGAAGTGTTCACCCACATGAATTCACTTGCTGAGGAAAGAAATCATGAGCATGATATATATTGGAAAAACTTCAGTCAAAAATCTGTCCTTATCCCTCAAGACAGAGTTCCCAAAGGATCCTATGCCTTTCATACACTGGGTAAAAGATTAAAGCAGAAGTCAAGCTTAAGGAAAAAGCAGAGAACCTATAAAGAGAAAAAACCTCATAAATGTAATGACTGTGGTGAACTCTTCACTTACCATTCAGTGCTTATTCGACACCAGAGAGTCCATACTGGAGAGAAACCTTATACCTGCAGTGAATGTGGGAAATCTTTTAGCCACAGAGCTAATTTAACGAAACACCAGAGAACTCATAATAGAGTTCTCTTTGAATGTAGTGAGTGCAAGAAAACCTTTACTGAAAGCTCATCCCTTGCAATACATCAGAGAATTCACATTGGAGAGAGACCTTATGAATGCAGTGAATGTGGGAAAAGTTTTAATCGAAGTACACATCTTGTGCAGCATCAGTTAATTCATACTGGAGTAAAGCCTTATGAATGTAATGAATGTGACAAAGCTTTCATTCATTCATCAGCACTTATTAAACATCAAAGAACTCATACTGGAGAGAAACCTTATAAATGTCTAGAATGTGGGAAAGCTTTCAGCCATTGTTCATCCCTTACCAAGCATCTGAGAGTTCATACTGGAGAAAAGCCATACGAGTGTAGTGAGTGTGGAAAAACCTTTAGTCAGAGCACACACCTTGTTCAGCATCAGAGAATTCATACAGGAGAAAAACCCTACGAGTGCAGTGAATGTGGAAAAACTTTTAGCCGGAGCTCAAATTTTGCAAAACATCAAAGGATTCACATTGGAAAGAAACCTTACAAATGCAGTGAATGTGAAAAAGCTTTCATTCATTCATCGGCTCTTATTCAGCACCAGAGAACTCATACTGGAGAGAAGCCTTTTAGATGTAATGATTGTGGGAAGAGTTTTAAGTGCAGTTCATCCCTCATTAGACATCAAAGAATTCACACTGAAGAGCAGCCCTGAAAAGTTACCGAATGTGAAGAAATGTAAGTTGGCTTTATCACTGTTAAATATCTGAGTGTTTAAGTGGAAAACTTATAATATACATCGGATTTACCTAATATATACTCACCTAATACATAATTTTCCTCTTAGCTAAGATGTTCTTTATGTCTGTTTATTGGATAATTATAAAAATATCTAGCTATAAATCTTAAAATGCTAATCTTCAACCTCCCAGATTCCCACATGTGGGAATTCAGGAAATCCCCGAGAAGGATATCAGTGTAAGCATTGTGAAATCCAATTCTCCACTTTTCATGTTTGTGCCAGAGCCCATTGTAGCTCTCCTTTTGGAAGGAAATGATGTTGTAGGTTAGTTTGCATGCTCATATTCTTGTCATCAGGAAGATAAAGAGTTGTTATTCTGACTCCAAAGTAGAAACCCACATATGTATAATAGCATACCTTTAGAGAATGTTGTTTCTTTTATAATATGAACCATAGAAATTATAAAGGTTAAGTGTTGAAAATTGCTTAGGATTCCCTTCCTTTCCCTGAAGGCTTCTGTCTAATTTAATGACTATAAGTAAAATGTGCTTACAATAGGTTTTAAATTACGTTCCTGTGAATTGTGTTGCTTATGTATTTAGCTCATTGTTACCTTTCTGTTGAGAAGGTTTGTCTTCATTTTTCAGTTCCTTTTAGTGACTGAAGTAGAATGGGTCAAAATCTTAACTGTATTCGTTGATCTTTGCTTATTCTTGTCATTGATTAAATCATTCATTTTCTAGAATCAGATTATCAAGGAGATTTCATTTCACTATATTACTTCTGCAAAGTTTACTGTGTCATCTTTAGAAAAGCTTTCGGGACATTCAGTCTGAAAAGTTGATACGTTCGATGTATTACTTTATTTAGGGGCCCAGTCAGAAAGAAATCTGAAGCACCAGAAGGAGACACCAGAGCATACCTTCCTGTTGGGTATGGAAAAACCTCCTGGGACGATCATCAGGATCCTAACGTGAAGATGAAAAGCTTCCCTTCATGAAGAAGTTGCCATTTCTCTGGCCTTCATGTTTACATACATTGTTTTTGAGTGTCTGGTTTGTGTTTATTCCTAAGCCATTAAGAAAATGAACAAGGCATGCTGTCAAAATGATATATTAGGCTAAGTTACATGGTGACCAAAGACTAGTGATGAGATTGGAACCAAAAGCCTTCAAATAAATATTTAGTAAAACACTATATGTATGTCAGTTTTGTATTGTTATTCTATTACATATTACGTCTTATGTGAAAACTATGGAAAATTAGAAAATTCACAACAGATTTCCTCTCCTGGATTCTATCTTTCTGTCTGTACTTTTCTCTCCTCCCCCATATCATTTTAAGCTTGGAAGTATATACACCTGGGTCTGCTCCTAGAGGTACCAATAGTGAAAAATAACTAGCTATTTCCACTAAATGTTAGCATCTTCTTTTATAAAGACTCAATTTCTCTATAGCTTATAAAAGAGTCATCGGGTGAGGAAGAAGGGGAAATATAAACATATTTATTGAGAATCGTACTGAACAGCTCCATTTAATTTACCATGATAACCAGTAATAGGATAATACAGGAGGTTAGAATCCTTTAATTGGTGTATAATACGTGACTGCCTCAAAGGGAAATTGATCTGATTGCTCTGAGGATAGAGCATATTATGGACAATGTTGACAATCTCCAGATTTTTCCAATGATAGAGAAATACACATGCTGGAGATTTAACTCAGTGGCTTAAGCACCTGCCTTGCAAGCACAGTCATGAGTTTGATCCCCAGTAGGGAAAAAAAAAAGTGAAATCTAGGAAACATGTGTTCCAATAACTACATTACAAAATTAATACAGGATTGCTATATTCTCTTATTTGACACCTCTTCCCATGATCCCAGCAGCTCTTAGAATAATTTTGAATAAATAACTATGGAAAATAGTATTGGTCTATTTTGTATTTCTGTAAAAAATACCTGAGACTTGATACTTCATAGAGACAAGAGGTTTATTTAACTATAATGGAGCTTCAAGAGCGTGGACTATTTGACTCTTGATAACATGGTGAATGACAGCTTGGTAGTGGATGTCAGTCAGGCTTATTTACCTGCTTTACAGGACTTCATACAAGCACAAAAATGCAGTCCCAGGAAAAAAGTATTAATCTTTTTTAAAGGCCTGATCACCTACCAGTGGGCCCCACTTCTTAAATTTTTCCATTTCTTGATAGTGCCACACTGGTTACTGTTCGGATTCAGCTTGATATGACTACAGCCAGCTTGAATTGATGTCATCATGGTTGCATCTGATTGACCCTGGTTAGTTTTCCTCTAGTTTTTTCAATATACTATAAATAGACAAAATTTTTGGAGTTACAGAGATTTACAGATTTATAGTTAAGACCCTGAGGCTAGCAATGAGCCTGTTCTTTGATACTAGCTTGAGATAACCCAGGTACATTCCACCTTGGATGAAGTCACTTCTGTCCTGATCAATATGGGCACCCATAGTTCTGACCCTTGTGGAGATCCACCTGGTCCAATAGCTGCCTAGAACCATGGTTCTATAAGCAAATTCCCAATAAATTGTACTCTGCAATCCTGGGATCTGCCTGCCTCTTTTCTTTGGTCTCACTGAACCTCAGGGCTGGTTCTCATACTCCAGATGATCAAAATTCTAATGCATAAATCTTTTGGAAAAATACTTATATCCAAACCATAATGCATGTGAAATAAATCTTTCCTTTCTCTTGTAAGTGCCACATCATAGGCTCCAAAGTGATAGACTATATTTGGTTCACTTTTTTTATTATAAAGAACATGATGAAATTGGCACAAGATACAAAATGTATATTATAGTTAAGAGCTAGGATGTTCCCTGAGGCTTCATGTGATCACAGATGGGACTTTTGAAAGATTAGGTCATAGGGCACTACTGATCAGTGAAATAGTCCAGAGGAAAATGTGCTGTAGGAAGTGGACCCTGGTCAGAAGAGACAGGACACTAGGAACATGAACTGGAAGAGTGTATCTCCCTGCTCAGCCATCCAGACACTCAGAAGAAGCTGAAGCCATGATTTACAGGGGTCCAGCTTCTCTTCCAGCTAGCTGCAGCCTTCACATTCACTAGATGCTGGTTTTACGGGCATGCAGAGTGCAAGAGATGGGGTCAGGGAGGTTTCCACCCAGATTTTAGAAGGCCTGGGAAACTAGGCAGTGTGTTCCTGAGAGGCCAGTGCATAAAGCTGTGAGAATAAAGCCAAAAGTGGAGATCCTAGGAAGCTGGACAAGCTGGGAACATGTAATGTTTGCTGAAGACAGCTGTAAGCTACTAGAAAAGTCAACCCAAAAGAAGCCATGAGGGCTACACCCAGCAGTGTCATAATGACAGGGTCAGCCCCTTTGGAGTTCACACTTTTGCCCCCAGGTGCCAGACATGAAGTTTATGGGATGTAATGTTGACCCTGCAGGGTTTCAGTCTCCTCTAGGTCTTTTCTATCCTATCTCTGTTTTGAAATGGGAATGTGTACCTTGCATAATTTTATGTCAACAGTGTTTAACATACTTTGTGATTTTCACAGGGGCTCATAGCTAAGAGTATGCCTCAAGTATCTCCAGAGAATACTTTTGACTTGTACTTTTCAGCAATGCTGAAACTGTTAAGATTCTGTCAGTTCTTAAAAGATAGACTAAATGCATTTTGCATAAAGAAATGAATATGAGTCTTTGTGGACCAAGTGTGGAATGTTGTTGCATAGATCTACAATGTCCCTCAAAGGCCTCTTATGTTCACAGGTGGAACATTTAAAAGCTGATTAGATCATGGGGTACAGTAGTCATCTGTGAGTTACAATGGATGAATGAATTCACAGCTAGTTTGCTCTTGGAGGTGGTTCCTGGCTGAAGAAGGTGGGTCACTGGGGACGTCATCTGGAAGAGTATTTCTCTCTTTTTGGATTCCTCTTGCTCTCTGCTTCCTGGCTGCCATGGCATGAGCACATGAGCCACTTTCCTTTCTGCAAGCCCGGCTATCATGCTGTACCTATACATAACCCTGCCAATGTAAAATGACATTTCTGAAACTGAACCAAAATAAACTACTCCTCATTGAAGTTGGGAGTATCAGTTACTGTATTCTGTGGTGGCAATGAGAAAGAGACTAAGACAGTGTAATTTTGATAAGAGACAGAATCTCTGCTGTTTGGGAAAATTGCACAGATTTTCCCAATATAATGACTTTCCACTTCCTCTTGCAAGAACAATCATTTAAGCAAAGATGTAACCTAAATCTAATCTTATATTAATATAATGTTTGGAATTAAAGATTTCACAAACATTTCAACAAAAACCTCTATCAAAATTAAATCAATGTTTGTCAAATTTTAACACATTTTATTGCCTTTTTGCAGTATTTGCAGCTATTATAATGCGTGAACAAAGTTCATTTTTCCCTCCAACCTTTGAAAACTTAACCATATTTACTCCAGTTTTGTCTTTTGGCATTTTTTCCACATTTTTCCACAACCAGACATTTCACTTTGAGATAGAATTATTCCTTTTTTCCCCACTTGATAAGCCAAAACTACATCCTGTTTCTTTTCATACATGTTTGGAGGTCCCCAAGTCCATTGTCACTCAGTAAAAAGATCCACAGGCTACAGTAAATGGTCAAACTAAAGCTCATTAGAGAATACTCAAGGTTTTTATTTGGTGCTAGACACACAGACACCCTCTTGTCTAGCATGAGCCTAAACCCCACACTTCCAGAAGGACAGCAGGTGTTCGGGATAAACCACGTTGTGTAAAGAATTCAGGAAGTGTGTGACACACTTACCAGTTCTGCAAATAGCAGGAACCACCATCCCAAGTCAGAGTTCCCAGACACCACCACTACTAGTAAGCAGTCCTTTGTAAAGATAGCACTCTTGGGCTTGCTTTGTTAACCCTGTACAATTTTATTGCCACTATATTTCCTATATGGTCCCATACTACTCAAACACTCACAACTACTCATATTAATCAAAAATTTGCTATCCAAGGTAATTAACTGGGACATAGATGATCAAGAATGGTCCACAATTCACAGAAGCAATTTAGTAGATGTGAGCAGAATTCACAAAAAACACACAGTATAACCTACAACCACGAGTCATTTTTACACCATGAAACAACGAAAGTAAACACATATATATGGAGGAGGGCATCCTAAGTCTGTCCACAAAAAAGAATCTAGAAGCAATAACTATCCAATTACAATGATCCAGGATCTAGGTGACCAGGACCCAATAAAAACACTAGACATTTACTGATGTTTCAATGGGCTTTCTTGTTAAATCACATTTCTGATCTCTTTCTCCACTTAAAGGAACCAGGGTTCTCAGAGGATTCTAGCACTAAGGGAAGGAAAGTCCAACAGTAACTGGAACATCTTATTCTGGAAAATAAAGTATTTTCAAAATGATGATTAGATCACAAAGACATAAAAGCCTACCTAAAGTGTGGTGATCGCTGGCCACATGTCAGATAATTTGAGGAGCAAAACAGTTGTTACCATAATGCATGATAAGTCATTGATAAAATAGTAGTCCATAAATTCACATGGATTGTAAGTAAACAAGACAGAGGGTCTTTGCTTACCGCAGAACACCCAGTGCCAGCTGGTGAATGTACAGGCAGTGCTGGTGCTAAAAACCAGTATTTTGCAGCTATCACAGACCACTTCAAACTAAATCTGAGAGGAAATTTTGCTCAAAATTTTTCAGATTTTTGATTTGAGGGTTAGGGATGCACAGCCAGTATAGTCTGCCCAAATACTGTATTCCAAAATTTGAAAACTTCTAAAGTGTATAGCAACGTGGTCTCAGGCATTTCAGGTAAAGATACTTGTATTTTTTTAAAGTGATATTCTTCAAATTGTTAATGTTAAAAAAGACAAAGAAATGCCTAAGAACTGTTCTAGATGATGCATGACAACAAACTAAAGATTGTTTTCTCTAATCCTGTGAAGTATGCTATTGATACTTTGATTAGGATTGCTTTAAATCTGTATAACAATTTTGGGAATATTGGTTCTTTCTACCCAGGAACAAGAGATATCCTTTCCATTTTCTGATATCCTCTTTGGTCTTCTTTACACATCACTATAGTTTTCAATGTAAATGTCTTTTACTTCGTTCATTAGATTCCTAGGTATTTAATTTTTTAGATGCTATTGT